TTGCTCAAAATGTTTTCGGTGACTTTTATCAGTGACAAGTTACCTAATTAGTATGCATTTCGAGAAACCACAGTGTGTGTGCATGCGCAGTTTGAAATAGAACAGTTTTGAACGCAATAAAATCACGCGTAGAACTCGGGCTCCAGCAAGAAATTGTGGCGTCAAACTGGTTGTCGGTTGAATTGTTTTGCAATAGACATAATTTTGGAGCTTGTATTTGTCTATGAAATGTTTCTAAGTTTTGTTGAGGATTATTCTGTAAAGAAATTGCTGAAATTATTTCATCTGTTTATAAACGGGACGTTGTTGCTTTGACGGTGGGCTACGGACGACTGACGTCGAAACGTTCCATTCAGATCGGATGGCGCCCTCTCGTGCCAATCCCCCCTGGCTGAGCACGTGGTTCCGTATTTATAAGTGCGCATTGCTATGCGTTGCGTGGATAGGGACGTTACAAAGCAATGACTACGGGGCTTTAACAATGGAGTGATGTCCCACTTTGATTGTAACTATATCATGCAACTCAGGTTCTGACGAGTTTACAGCTAGTCGTTCCGCGAAAGCCGAGAAAAATAAACTCCAGGTAGAATAACTCGAAGTTTACGTAACTCAACTTGAAACTTCGTGACTCGAACTCGTGTCATACTCGTTCAAATATTAATGTCATTTGTTTTTCTTTTTGTAGGTTATTGGTGCGCCATATCAGTTGCAAGAAAACTCCCAAACCCGAGAAGAACGGACTGGTATAAACTAGGGAACGAGCGGCCAATAATCTGAATTGTCCCGTTGCACAAGCGGGACAAACGAGAGGGAAGGGATGGAAGAAGTGATGATTGCAAATACAAATGAGGGTTCAAATACAAGCGAAGCTCGGACAAGAGACTGTGGTCATAGACTATGGATTAAGTGGTCTCGCTCGGAGGACTTGCTATCGGGTGACCATAGCCATACAACAGAGGGGAACTTGCCACTCAAGACACCGGACGTGATACCATATCACTTGTTTTATATGGACAGTTAGATGTATCGCTATTACAAAAACAAAGGATATTCTTTTTAGATCGTTAGAGGTAACTTCCCCCAGAAGTACGCTGTTTCCTTAAAAGTTGTAAATATTGATGTATTTTTGACTGATGTTGTTTGTGACTCAGCTCTTCTTGTTTTCACAGGAGAACGTGAACAAAAATTAACACGCTCCACGACTTTTCTGCGTGGTAATTACATAACTGCCTTTGTAAGGCAATGTTCCGTGTCAATAGTCATTTTTCTTTATTTGGTGTCATATTACTATGTAATTTGGTTTAGTTTTTCCCCGGTCTTTTGACATACTGAAATATTCACAGTGAACTGACTCATGATTCACGCGCGTGGTAATCACGCGACGTTTACACCACTGACGTCATCTTCTCGTGAGCATTTACCGCATTGCACAAAGAACAAAAGAACGACGTCAGTGTTTTGTTGACGAAACCGGAAAATGGTCAATCTGCCGTGGCGAGAAGGTAAACAGTTCTCACAGGTCGCATTTACAGACATTACATTGTACCATGTATAGAAAATTGTATTAAACTATTAAATTATTTTATGTTTGTAAAAATGGTTATGTTTATTGCAGAAAATGTGGCAATGTCCTATAGGACGAGTCAAATGATGTCTCGCCTCTTTCTTCACGCTCTCAATAATGAATGAGGTACACCGACAAAGTGGCCATACATTCTCATGCGGTGTCTACTCAGCCAGTCTACTGAACATTATCACCCAGATCGTACCTCTGAGTGTTGTTTTCGAGAGAACATTCTTACGTGTGCATCAGTACACATACCACATAGATTCAGTTGATCCAGTCATTGTAGACAGAGTCGGGTAAATCAAGGAAATACTCGCTGAAAATGAGTCTGCGCACTTGATTTACCCAGAATTCTGTGCGAATCTCCATTGATTCTGGCTGCTGGCCATTTTCGTTCATGAAATCGTCGGATATCATCAGAAAACGCAGGATTTATGCAGTTTTGAATAAAACCAAGTTAGCGATTATGAACAATGGTTATGAACTTAACAGTCGATCCGCTCTGAACTTTTTGTTTTGCATTTTAAGGTAAGAAATTGACATTTGAAACCGACATGGTGTCGATTTCACTAGGTGCCATGTTTCATAACTTGTTCATTTATATAAGTATAGCGGATGACTTTAAACAAAAAAATAGTATATATTGATTTTCAGCCCCCCCCCAAGTGACTGTGCGAGAGTGTTCTTCATCTTTACTTCAGATTACAGAAAATACATAAGTTACATTCAAATGCTATAAGAATTAATTCCAGGTATAACTAGTATTATTATCTGGCTAAAAATCAAATTTAAATCAGGGTTACAGCGTTCGCAACTTTTTATTCCTCAGCTCCTGAGAGCGAGGTTATTTGTAGATATGTTGGCAATCGCCGCTGTGTCTGCGGAAGTACTATGGGAGATTGCATGATGGGAGTGAAAAGTATTTTGATCAGTAAGATAATTTTAGAAAAGTGAAAACTAGATTGACTGTGAACTAAAGGTTGGTTTTAAATATAAAATATCATGGAATCTGGATG